GGGGACTCACTCCGTCTGGTCCAGCAGACTTGCCTGAGTGAAGTCTCCTCATTTGCATCTCAAGCTGGTCTTAGCGATGATAAGTGAAGGTTTCCCGGTGGTTCTGCTGGGAGCAAGGGCTCTATGTGAGCAGCCCACCAGGATTTCTTTGTCCAGTTGCAGAACTTCTTTCAATAAGGTGGAAACTGAGCGTCCTCCGCAACACCCACAATATGAATATTGCACGTCTGCATTCTTGCCTCCATATCTTCATACTTTTATTTTATGCTAAACAGCTCAGACTGTAATCCTGCACCCGTCCCTTGGAGGCTTACAACCTTGTCCAACCATGACGATCTTCCAGGTCACTAATGGTGGACTTGATGTTGTTCATTTCTGAGCGGACTGTAGCCGTGTTGTTAGCAATCTCCCTCTTAACTTCCCTCAGTTCGTTCGTCAGGGAGTCAAAATCCTCTGCGAGCGCACATCTCAGTTCTGACCTGATAATCGTGGAGATATTGTTTTTTTAGAGAAGAAAGGATGTCCGATTTCAAACCTTCATACTTCATCACGGTGTCCGACTGCGGGCAACACGATGAACTCCCACTTACTTTATTAGCATGTGCTGAGGATGCGCCTGGCCACTTCCCTGAGGAGCCAGTATATTTATATTTACGGAGTTTAGATGCCATTTCAGTTGTAACTACTGGTCCGTTTTTTTTCCATTGGTCATTGTAAGACTCCTTGTGCTTGCCTCGAAAGGTTGTGCGTTAAAACTTTTATTTTTGAATTTGAATATTTAGGTGCAATGGCCTCTCAAATAGCAAAGGTATTGCTGTCATTGGATGCTGAAGCAGTTGGTTCACTCAAAGAAGGAGTGAATTTCAAGAAAAGCCCAGAGGATGGCAAGTGTTACATCATATTTAAGAGCAACAATGACTTTAAAGCATGCAAGAACCAGTGCAAGCATCAAGGGGGGCTGTTCATCAAAGACATTGAAGATCTGGATGGCATGTGAGAGCAGGAGCAGATATCAGTGATTATACATTGTCAATTTTTGATTATAGCTGACAGAATTGTCTGTTCCCTCAGGACTGTTAAATGTACCAAACACAACTGGAAATTAAATGTGTCAACAATGAAATATGTGAACCCACCTGACAGCTTCTTGCAGGATGAGCTTGGTAAGTTCTGTCTGTAAAATGCCATTTACTGTATATTGATATTCCACTTCCTGCAATATGAGTGTTGGATGCTAAATCTGAAATATAAATATGTAAACTGTAAAGGTGCATTATGGGATGTGTGGGGACCTTATAATTATAGCTCTTGCCACAGTAGGCACTAACAATCAGAATAGCAATTACCTTCATTGCTTTATTAAATTAAATGCTAAACTGGTAGAGGGCCTCTTCTAAAGAATAACATGACAATTTATGTCAATAATTGTAATCAAGAACTGTCAAACATATTCTTTCCAACAGACATTTTCCATGCTGCAAATGACTGGGATGTAAACTGTTTAATGCAATGTAATTCTCTCCCTGGTAATTTACTTTTTTTTTTTCCCACTCATCCACGTGACTTCTTCAGTCTCAGCTGACTGCAGGTTTCTCCAACCTTACGAACAGTACATTTGCACAATGACTGAAACCAGCCCACTGAATGAATAATAGGCTGTAAGGTCAGTTCTTTGGTCATTAATATGGAAGTGGTGCCAGTGCTGCTAGTTTCAGTCATTGTGCAAATGTACTGCCTCCTAAGAACAATAATTAAACATTTGTGAAGAGCTCTGACCAGGAAAGCAAACCAAAACAAGAAGCCATTGTCAAACATATCCTTCCAACTGACAATTTCCACGACTGGAACTGTTTAATGCAATTTATTTCTCTGAAAGTAATAACAATTATACATTTGTGCCAAAAAGCCCACTACAGTACAAATACACCTTAGTCAGTATGAATGACCATATTGAATGCATGGATAATATTATAATGAGGATAATAGAAATACCATTTAAATACTACACCTGAGCTTCTTGTCGCACTTGCAGAGGTATCAATGTTGGATGATGGGGGGCTTCAGTTGGTGGAACTGAGCCCCATTGATCCCTGGATGGCTGATCCTCGAGAACCTCTGGAGCTCCAGAAGGGAGAAGTGAAAGTAAGTGTTGCTGTTACACTTTAAATAACAAATGTTTTACAAAGTTTTTCAGACACCGCTGTGCATTGTTTTACTCTTATTAGACTGTTGTGCAAAATTATCTGTGTAATAATAAAAATCTTAATTATGTCAAAGTATCTCAATAATGAATGAAGAGGAAGCTCTGTGTATTCAGACTCACCTCTGGTGCAGGTGCCCACCTCTCAATTTTTAAATGCATGTAGACATTGAAGGTTGTCGGGAGGGGCCGTGCTGACACCTGCTAGCAGAAAGCATCATGCCCTTCCCATCTTTTAAATGCACTTTAGAACAGCAAGCAGCAACAGTACATATGAGCAGGTGGAGAA